TGTCTATAGGCTCTGTCAAGTCTCCATTAATAATTATTTGAGCACATTGTTTTTGATAGATCGCTTTTATAGCTGTCTTAAATTGATCTCCAAAGTTCATGTAGTCCAGCATTTTATTTAAAAACTGCCAGTCCAATTTGTCGAAGGCCTTCTCCGCATCTAAAAAAATAAAAGCCGATGGCACTTGATCATTCTTATCCAAGTATTCCAATAAATTTACGATTTGTCTAATATTATTCTTCATATACCTTCCAGATATAAAACCAGTTTGATCATCATGTATATAGTATTGCAGTATCTGCATCAATCTATTAGCCAAAATTTTTGCAAAAATTTTATAATCCACGTTCAGCAAAGAAATGGGTCTGTAATCCTTAAGTTCCAAAACCTCTTTCTCATCCTTCGGTATCAAGGAAATAAAAGCTCTTGTCCAAGACTGTGGTATTTGTTCTCCCAGCATAATTCTGTTAAATAGTATTTTTAAAGATTGAATCATTTCGGCTGACAGTGCTTTATAATAAATTGCTGTCAAGCCATCTGTACCAGGGGCTTTGCCAGCTTTCTGTTGTTTAATTGCGTTTAAAATTTCATCTGCAGTAATCTCTTCATTCATAAGTTTTTGTTGATCTGATGTAAGTTTATATATTGATGAAGATTGTAAATATTTATCAATATCCTCAATTTTTATACTCCCTGAAGAGTATAAATGTGAGTAGAATTCTGTAAATACCTTTTTAATCAATTCTTGTTGAAATACCTCACGACCCTTAACCAAAACTTTAGATATAAGTCTAGCTTTTTGCCTCTTGCGTAATTGGTAAGCCAACCATCTCCCTGGTTTATTTGCATTAGCAAATGTGTTATGTTTAATATATTTCAAATTGGTGGCCACCTGATCAGCAATTAGCATATTAAATTGATCCTTAAGCATTTTAATAGAAGCCTTCAAGTTAATATCCGTTGGTCGCTGAGATAATAATTTTTCTTTGATCCCAATTTCTTTTTCCAAGTTTAGTCTACTCTGAATTTGCTTACGTTTATGTGCATTGTTCATAGAAATTAGCAAGCCCCTCATGTAAGCTTTACTGCCATCCCAAACAATATGTATAGGAGTGTCCTTATTCAAGTTGAATTGAAAAAATTCTTCCATGTATTCCTTCAAGACTTTAACCTTATCCTCATAATTAAACAAATTTTCATTTATTCTCCAAGATTTCCTCTTCTTTTGTTGACCAATCTCTATCCATACCATACTATGATCAGACAAAGTTCTAGGAAAAAATTTGGTTTTGTTACAGTCAGTAAGCAGGTCAGTTGATATCAAAACAAAGTCAATCCTTGATAAAGACTCATGTCTATGAGAGAAAAAGGTAAAGTCACGTTCATTCATGTGTTGTGATCTCCAAACATCCACCAATTCCAGATCTTCCATCATTGCAAAAAAAGATTTGGGGAGTCTGGAAAGGGCCACATCCCTAGAAGTTGATTTCTTATCTTTTAAAGTATCAAGTACCCCATTCCAATCTCCCATAACAATCAAAGAATTATAGTCCATAGCCACAATTTTCTGGTGTAATTGTCTATAAAATTGCTTTTGAGATGACAGCTGATTGGGGGCATAAACCCCCACTATTAAGCACTTTCTTCCATTTAAATTTATTTCCACAAATAAAAATCTTCCTTCTTTGTCAGCTTCTTTTAAGACAGGTGAAAGATGTTTTTTTATATATAATGCAACCCCAGCTTTTTTTTTAAGGGCAGGTGCAGCAAACAGGTCTCCAAGCTTAGAATTTAACAATAATTTTTGGTCTTTAACCACAATATGAGTTTCTTGTAAGCATGTAATATCATTATTAAAATGTCTTAGGTAATGAAAAACCTTACGTCTTTTGTGGGGTGTGTTAAGCCCTCCCACATTCCAAGATGAGATTTTAGTCATCAGCTGATTTCAATCCTATAGCAATACTTGAAGCATAAGACTTGGCAAAAACCTTAGGTCGAGCGCCACCTACTGGCTCCGAAGTAGCAGGTGTCAAACTATCAGCTGATGGGCGGGCTGTCAGTTGTAATTCCTTTTCCTTACGTCTGTGGGCTGCTCGAGTCATCCTTTGTTCTTTCGCATCATCTTTCACACGCCCATTTGCATCCTTAGCACCAGAAGTAAAAGGGAGGTCCACAATCAAATGCTCAACTATATCAGTCTTTTGGGTTGCAGGTGGACGCTCCACTTGCAGCACAGACGCCATGAAGTCGTTCGCTTTTTTAATCGAGTTGATTCTGTAGCGCTTACCAGCCACTGTTACAATTATACCCACCGGTATATCCCATCTAAAAATTATTTGCCTATTCTTAAGTTCCTGCGCCAGAAAAGCATAATCTCGACGCGCCTTAAGTATTTTCGCTGGAATTTCTTTTAAAAGAATAATGTCTTGGTTTAAAATCTTAAATCTTTGTTGATAGAAGAGCTGCATTATTTCATTTCTTCTCGCCTTCCTTGTAAAATAAACCGATTACAGTGCCTGTTTTGAACGGTGTGTAAACGTTGCTTATCTCTATGTGCCTGTCGATGGCCGAGTGCCAAGCTTCTAGAAATTCCCTAGCGTTTTTGCACTTGGCTTGGTCTAGGATGGTCACAGTTTGAAACTATGGTTGAGTCTGTTCATATGTTGTGAAATTAAAGAGGTTTCATTGTGTCTTCTGACTCTTAAGTCAGGGGTCTTCCAACTTGGCCCTTGGATGACTTGTGGACTTCGACTCCCAGAATTCCTCAGCCAGGCACGCGTGCCTGGCTGAGGAATTCTGGGAGTCGAAGTCCACAAGTCATCCAAGGGCCAAGTTGGAAGAGCCCTGCTCTAAGTAGTATTCGTGGATGCGCTCTGCAAGTCTTCTCCCTGTTTGTTCTATCAAGCGGCTATTACAGTCCTTACCCTGCGTGTTGTACATTAGGGGTCCCCCAATCTTTTGGGCACCTGGAGCTGCTTTTGTGGAAGACGGTTTTTCCACGGACTGGGGTGAGGAGGAGCGTGCAATCTAGGTCCCACGTGTGTGCAGTTTCGCTCGCCTGCCGCTCACCTCCACCTGTGCAGCCTGGTTTCTAACAGGCCATGGACCGGTACTGGTGCATAGCCAGGGGGCTGGGGACCCTTTTGTAGATGACTCCTGTTTTTTTCTTCTGGGATTGCTGGGATAGGATGTTTGGGTGCTACGGTGATGCCACAACTCCTACAACCACACGCTACAAACGTGGTTGGAGGAATCTATCTTTTCCTCCCTCCCTCCCCCTCCTTCTTCCTTCCTTCCTCCCTCCCCTCTTTCCTTCCTTCCTTCCTTCCCTCCCTCCCTCTCCTTCCTTCCTTCCATCCTTCCCTCCCCTCTTTCCTTCCTTCCCTCCCTCTCCTTCCTTCCTTCCATCCTTCCCTCCCCTCTTTCCTTCCTTCCTTCCTTCCTTCCCTCCCTCCCTCTCCTTCTTCGTTCCTTCCATCTCTCCTTCCCTTTCTCCCTCCCTCTCCTTCTTTCCTTCCTTCCCTCCCTCCCTCCATCCCCCTCCTTCTTTCTTCCTTCCTTCCTTNAGAGTCAGCCTGCAATGCTGCATTCTAACTATTGTGCCAGCACAGCTCCTACATAAATACATGCCAGTTGCCAAGTGTCTGAATTTTGATCATGTGACCAGAGGGTATTGCTATGGTCATTAGTGTGAAAACCAGTCATAAGTCATTTTGCTCAGTGCTGTTGTAACTTTGAACAGTCACTGAACAAATGGTTGTAAGTCAAGGACTACCTCTAGCCTTACAATAAAGTAGAATTAGCTGATCTGATTGTGCTTCCTCTTTGTTCTAGCACAGTGTTTCTCAACCTTGACAATTTTAAGGCATGTGGAATTCTGGGTGTTGAAGTCCACATGCCTTAAAATTGTCAAGGTTGAGAAACACTGTTAGCAATAGCAATAGCACTTAGACTTATATACATCCCACAATGCTTTGTAGCCCTCGCTGGGCAGTATATAGAGTCAGCATCTTGCCCCCAACAATCTGGATCCTCATTTTATTAACTTCAGAAGGACGGAAAGCTGAGTCAACCTTCAGCTACTCAGGATTGAACTCCTGGCGGTGGGCAAAATCAGCCTGCAATACGGCATTTTAACCACTGCGCCACCATGGCAAGGGAGGAAGGAAGGAATAGCACTTATGTACCGTCCCACAATGCTTTACAGCCCTCTCTAAGCGGTTTTCAGAGTCAGCCTCTTGGACCCAACAATCTGGGTCCTCATTTTACCGACCTCAGAAGGACGGAAGGCTCAGTCAACCTTGAGCCGGTCAGAATCAAACTCCTGGCAGTGGGCAAAGTCAGCCTGCAATACTGCATTTTAACCACTGCACCACCATAGGGAGGGAGGGAAGGAGGGAGGGAGGAATGAATGAAAGAAGGAATAGCGCTTATTTACCGCTTCCCAGTGCTTTACAGCCCTCTCTAAGCGGTTTACAGAGTCAGCATCTTGCCCCCCAACAATCTGGGTCCTCATTTTACCGACCTCGGAAGGATGGAATGCTGAGTCAGCCTTGAGCTAGTCAGGATCGAACTGCTGGCAGTGGGCAGAGTTAGCCTGCAATACTGCATCCTAACTTTTGCACCACCATGAAGGAAGGAAGGAAGGAAGGAAGGAGAAAAGGGAGGGAGAGAAGGAAGGAGGGAGGGAGGGAAGGAGAAAAGGGAGGGAGAGAACGAAGGAAAGGATAGAAGCAAGCAATGGCAATATCACTTAGACTTATATACCGCTTCACAGTGCTTTACAGTCAGGATTGAACTCCTGGCTATGGGCGGAGTCAGCCTACAATACTGCATTTTGACCACTGCACCACCAGGGCTCTTTTCTGGGTCTACCTGTGAAGGCTGACATGGCAGCAGCCTGAGATAGCTTACTCAGAACTGGAATGCCGAAGGTTCATACGAGAGCTGACCGTTGTTTGGAAAACCCATTCTTTCTCATTCTTTTGTCCGCTCAGGTTAACGTGGGTTGGTTGGCTCCTGTGCCCCGTCCTGTTATCCCGAAGGCATTGCCAGCGTGTGGAGCCTGCGCCACACCCACATCCTGCCAAATCACGGCCTTTACCTGCGTGTTCCAGTGTTTCCCCTGCGACCCGTCGTGTAGGAGGACCTCCTGGGCCACCTCCGAGTTCACGCAACATTCGGTGGCCCCAATGGTGAAGATGACCCGGTCGAAGACATTCCAAGCGTACCTGCCTTCGTGCCATCGCACGTACAGCTGCATCCACTGCAGGGCTCACCTGGCCAATCACGACGAACTAATTTCAAAGGTAGGTTGTCCTTCAGCGGGGAGGACTGCTAGAGTGCCTGGGAAATTGAACAACCCAGACAGTTTTAATGGATGTTTCATGTGGAGGTAGCCTTACGACTACAAACTGAACCCTAAATTTATGTTGCTAAGTAATTTCAAAGGTAGGTCATCCTCAAGCGGGGAGGACTGCTAGAGTGCCTGGGAAATTGAACAACCAGGACAATTTTAATGGATGTTTCATGTAGAGGTAGCCTTACGACTACAAACTGAACCCTAAATTTATGTTGCTAAGAGAGATACGTCAAGTGAGTTTTGCCTCATTTTACGACCTTGTTGCCCCAGTTGTTAAGTGAATCACTGCAGTTGTTCAGCTAGTAACATGGTCGTTAAATGAATCTGGTTTCCCCATTGACTTTGCTGGTCAGAAGGTCGCAAAAAGGGATCACATGACCCCCCAAGACACGCCATAAATACGTGCTGGTTGCCAAGCGTCTGAATTTTGATCACGGGACCACGGGAATGCTGCAGTGGTTGTGCGAAAAACAGTCCTAAGTCACTTTTTTCAGTGTTGTTGCAACTTGAAACAGTCACTAAACAAACGATTGGAATTTGAGGACTCCCTGTATTTTTCCTCCAGAAAAACTAATTTGATAATTGTAATTATAATTATCCGGAACCAATTTTGGGGAGACGATCTCTGCCAGGATGGAAACAGCAGCCTTATGTTGTTTTTCCAAAAGCTCAGATTCAGTGGGTCTTCTTTCCAAAAAATTGACTACAAATAGTCCTCGACTTACAACAGTTCATTTAGTGACCGTTCCAAGTTACAACTGCACTGAAAAAAATAGCCATTTTCACACTTAAACAACCGCTGCAGCATTTCCATGGTTAGTTGATCTGTTCTGTCCCAGCCTACGAGAGTCCTTGTTAAGCTCGCAAGGAGAAACCCCTCTTCCAACAAGCAGGCTGGAACTGCAGGAAAAAACCAAAAACCCCTTTTATTATTCACAGACCTGAATAAATGTCCAAGGCAAACAATGCCTTGGTAAGGCCACACTTGGAATACTGCATCCAGTTTTGGTCACCACGATGTAAAAAGGATGTTGAGACTCTAGAAACAGTACAGAGAAGAGCAACAAAGATGATCAGGGGACTGGAGGCTAAAACATACAAGGAACGGTTGCTGGGATTGGGTATGTCTAGTTTAATGAAGAGAAGGATGAGGGGGGACAGGATAGCAGTCTTCCAGTATCTCAGGGGCTGCCCCAAAGAAGAGGGAGTCAAGCTATTCTCCAAAGCGCCTGAAGGCAGGACGAGAAGCAACGGATGGAAATTGATCAAGGAGAGAAGCAACCTAGAACTAAGGAGAAACTTCCTGACAGTGAGAACAATTAACCAGTGCAACCACCTGCCTCCAACACTGGAAGTTTTTAAGAAGAGACTGGACAGCCATTTGTCTGAAATGGTATAGGGTTTCCTGCCTGAGCAGGGGGTTGGACTAGATGACCTCCAAGGTCCCTTCCAACTTTTATTTATTTATTATTATTATTATTATTATTATTATTATTATTATTATTATTATTATTATTATTATTATTATTATTATAAAACACAGTTCACAGAAACTCAATCCTCAACACGAACGGTTGCCTTCGGCAACCAGCACCTCCCACACCTTCCCTTTTATAATTCAGCCAAGGCATGGCTTCCTAATGCCTTCTCCTTTGCCTTTGGAGCCACCCCATTGCATTCCTCTGTCCTACTCGCTTCTCTTTCCTGCGCATTCGTGCATCCGGGATTTGTCCCAGCTGTTCTTCATCACTGTCCAACTCAGGCTCCCAGCACAGCTGTGTCTCACCCTGAGCGCAAGTAGAGGGGCCAGGCTCCTCGTCAGACTGTAAGTCTTGGAGCTGCTCAGAGCCTTCCTCTGACTCTGATCTCCCCCCTCCTCCTCCTCCTCTGATTCCTCAGACTCAGCTGCCGGATCCATGGGCCAGTGATCAAAATCCAGCCGCTTGGCAACTGACTGATATTTATGACGGCTGCCGTGTCCTGAGGTCATGTGACCACCATTTGCGACCTTCTCACAAGTCGACGGGGAAGCCAGATTCACTTAACAACCTTGTTACTCACTTAACAACTGCAGTGATTCACTTACCAGCTGTGGCAAGGAAGGTTGTGAATTGGGGCCAAAAAAAAAAAAAAAAAAAGGACTTAACAACCCATCTCACTTAGCAACAGAAACTTTAGGCTCAATTGTGTGGTCGTAAATTGAGGACTACCTGTATTGCAAAGTAGAGTTGTGCGGCTTTTGAGGGTGAGTGTGTGTTGACTAACTGTTTTGTCCGGGGGGGGAAAATTGTTCTTTATCAATAGTTTTTTATTTCAAGAAAGTTAAATGGGTTGCTTTGATGCTTTTATCCAGTTGCCTTAGATCCGTTCCAGGAAATAAAAGATTTGCAGACTTTCATAACTTTTTTCATTTTTTTTGCTGGTTCATCGGCTGCCCTTGTTTCTGGCAGGTGCACGGGTAAACATTTGATTTATTTTACGGCTTGATTTTTGCCTCTGTGGTCCTTAGTTCGATTAGTAAGAAGATTCCTTATTGTGGCTTTGTTGTCTGGCCAAAATGGGAATCTGGCCGAAAGCAAAGGAGCGGAATGTGGTTTTGTGGGTTCCATCTGGAGGAACATTGTATGCTTCAGGCTGTGATTGTGGATTGAAATTGTTGCACTTTTACTGGACGACCAAATTTTGGAAATGACTGAGATGTTTAGTTTATTTCTTTCAAGCATTTATAAAGCTTGAAAAAACTGGGCCTGCCAGGATTTTGGGTGGCCTCGGCTATACAGGTAAGTCCTCGATTTACAGCAGTTCGTTTAGTGACCGTTTGAAGTTACAGCGGCACCGAAAAAAGTGACTTAGGACCGTTTTTCACACTTACAACCATTGGAGCATCCTGATGATCACGTGATCAAAATTCAAACGCTTGGCCAATGACTCGTATTTATGACGGTTGCAGCGCCCCGGGGTCGTGTGATCCCCTTTTACGACCTTCTGACAAGCAGAGTCCACCGGGAAGCCAGTTAACAATTTGTGTTATTGACTTAACAACTGAAGTGCTTCACTTAACAACCGTGGCAAGAAAAGGTCGCAAAATGGGGAAAAATTCACTCAACAACTGTCATACCTAGCAACAGAACTTTTGGACTCGTTTTGAGCAATAGAATAGAATAGAATGGAATGGAACGGAGTAGAATAGAGTAGAATAGAATAGAATATTAACAATAGAATAGAATAGAATAGAATAGAATAGAATAGAATAGAATAGAATAGAATAGAATAGAATAGAAACTTTATTGAGAATCGAATCGAATCGAATCGAATCGAATCGAATCGAATAGAATAGAATAGAATAGAATAGAATAGAATAGAATAGAATAGAAAATATGGAATGGAATGGAATGGAATAGAATAGAACAGAATAGGAGTAGAACAGAGTACAGTGGTGGCGAACCTATGGCACGGGTGCCAGAGGCGGCACACAGAGCCCTCTCTGTGGGCACGCGCGCCGTCGCCTCAGTCCTAGGCCTTCAGCTGGGTTTTATAAAACCTTTTCACTATAGGCCTCCGCCGCCGTGTGCAAAAAAAAAAAAGGTTCAATCAGTCAATGTCAACTTCTCGCAGGAAAAAAAAGATCTTGCAAAGTTGGAATTGATTGATTGAACTTTTTAGTCCCACCCAGTCTGCCGTTACCACCGCAGCCACGCCCACCCAATGGGCCACCCCCAATTGGCCACACCCAGCCAATGGGCCACACCCAGCCAGCACTCGAGGATGCATAAGTGGGTTTTGGGTTGCAGTTTGGGCACTCGGTCTCTAAAAAGTTCGCCACCACTGGAATAGTAGAACAGAACAGAATAGAATAAATAGAGCAGAACAGAATAGGAGTAGAACAGAATAGAATAGAACAGAACAGAACAGAATAGAATAGGATAGAGCAGAACAGAACAGAATAGAGCAGAGCAGAACAGAACAGAACAGAATAGGAGTAGAACAGAATAGAACAGAGCAGAGCAGAATAGAGCACAACAGAATAGTAGAACAGAACAGAATAGAATAGAGCTGGAAGGGACCTTGGATGTCTTCTAGTCCAGCCCCCTGCTTAAGCAGGAGAACCTATACCGTCTCAGAGAGATGAATGTCTAGAATAAGTCGAGGACTACCTGCAAATAATTTTTGTTTATTTACTTATTTCATTTTTACCCTGCTTTTTCTTTGGTACTACTCCCGCCTCCCATTGTCCCCACAACAACAACGACCCTGTGAGGTGGGTCGTGCCAAGAGGGAGGGACTGTCCCAAAGTCACCCAAGTTAAAGAGAGGACTAGAATTCTGGCTCCTACATCATCGTCGTCTTCATTTTATGGGTAGTCCTCAACTTACAACCATTCGTTTAGCGACCACTGTTACCAAAGCTACAGTGGCCCTGAAAAGAATAATTTATGATGATGACCATTTTTCACACTTACGACTGGCACCGTATCCCGAAAAAGCCACATGGTGACAATTTAGGGCAGGGGTCTTCAAACTTGGCCACTTTAAGACTTGTGGACTTCAACTCCCAGAATTCCTCAGCCAGCACTTGGCTACTTTAAGACTTGTGGACTTCAACTCCCAGAATTCCTCAGCCAGCACTTGGCCACTTTAAGACTTGTGGACTTCAACTCCCAGAATTCCTCAGCCAGCACTTGGTCACTTTAAGACTTGTGGACTTCAACTCCCAGAATTCCTCAGCCAGCACTTGGCCACTTTAAGACTTGTGGACTTCAACTCCCAGAATTCCTCAGCCAGCACTTGGTCACTTTAAGACTTGTGGACTTCAACTCCCAGAATTCCTCAGCCAGCACTTGGCCACTTTTAAGACTTGTGGACTTCAACTCCCAGAATTCCTCAGCCAGCACTTGGCAACTTTAAGACTTGTGGACTTCAACTCCCAGAATTCCTCAGCCAGCACTTG